CGACGTTCCAGTGTTTGCGAAGCGCCCCGAGCTCCTGGTGGCTATGCTGCCAGAGCCGGGGAGACCCAGGCAGAGAACAGCAGGAAGATAAAGGAAGGTTCGGCGACTATGTTGTCAGCGCTCCGGGGTGCCGTGACACGAGCCTGGGGCGACTTGTCTTCGATCTCTTGGAATCAGACTTTCGCAATTTCCCACGCACTCCCTGCTACCTGGCAGATCTAGATCCCGATTCCCGACGCAGCCTCACCTTGCATATCGTACAGCTGGCTGTCAAGAGCAGACTTCTGATTTCCTCAAACGAAACCTGGAGTCCGAAAAAACGATCGCTTCTGGCTGAGATTTCTGCCGGGCGTAGCACGCCTGGCTCGAGCCGCGTCGGCGCAGGCCCTCCGGGCCGTGCATCCTCGTCCGCCCGTTGGCGCAAATTGTACAAAGCAGCGCTTCCCAGACCTCCGAGGTATGGCAAAAGTAAGGCTGAGGTTTTCGTCGGCTTCGGCCTTTGAGGGCCCTCGCCGGGCCCCAGGACCAGCAAAAAACGGCTCGGGACGAAAACTGGCCTTGGGGAAAAGGGTCGGGACTTCCAAAGATTCCGCATTGAACAACTCATGGCATCGGATATCTGGGTTTCTGCCAGCCGGGGCGCTTGTCTCATGGCGGTTACAGGGCGCATGCTATGCCTTTGCGGAGGCGCGTTGGGGTATAGAGTATCCATCCGCTCTGGGACAGTCGTTCCCGACGGCGGGAAAAACGCGTTGCACCGTGATTCGTCAGCCGAGCCTGTGCTCTGCACCTCTCCAGGCCTCCCAGAGAGGGTCCAAGCAGATGGGGTCGGAAGATCGTGCTGCGTCGCCAATGCCCCTCCGTTGCGGTTCGATGCGGAGTTTTTTCCGAACCATCCTGTGGTGTTGGGTCCTCGTTTTGAAGAGACAGCGCCCCGCGTTCACTCCTTCCTCCCGCTGCCCCCTCCCCCCTCCCTCCTCCTCTTCCCCCTATCACGGCACACCCCTCACACGCTTCGTGGCCCCATAGGGAGCTCCACCGAAGGCCCCAGTGGCTGCGGGCGCATGGCGGCGCCGCACCCATTTCGGCACACCCCTCACACGTTTCGTGGCCCCATAGAGAGCTCCACCGAAGGCCCCAGTGGCTGCGGGCGCATGGCGGTGCCGCACCTATTTCGGCACACCCCTCACGCTTCGTGGCCCCATGGGGAGCTCCACCGAAGGCCCCAGTGGCTGCGGGCGCATGGCGGCGCCGCACCCATTTCGGCACACCCCTCACACGTTGCGTGGCCCCATAGGGAGCTCCACCGAAGGCCCCAGTGGCTGCGGGCGCATGGCGGCGCCGCACCCATTTCGGCACACCCCTCACACGTTTCGTGGCCCCATAGGGAGCTCCACCGAAGGCCCCAGTGGCTGCGGGCGCATGGCGGCGCCGCACCCATTTCGGCACACCCGTCACACGCTTCGTGGCCCCATAGGGAGCTCCACCGAACGCCCCAGTGGTTGCGGGCGCATGGCGGCGCCGCACCGATTTCGGCACACGCCTCATACGTTTCGTGGCCCCATAGGGAGCTCCACCGAAGGCCCCAGTGGCTGCGGGGGCATGGCGGCGCCGCACCCATTTCGGCACACCCCTCACACGCTTCGTGGCCCCATAGGGAGCTCCGCCGAAGGCCCCATAGGGAGCTGGCTGCGTCCGCATTTCGGCGGCGCCGCACCCATTTCGGTACACCCCTCACACGTTTCGTGGCCCCATAATGAGCTCCACCGAAGGCCCCAGTGGCTGCGTCCGCATGGCGGCGCCGCACCAATTTCGGCACACCCCTCACACGCTTCGTGGCCCCATAGGGAGCTCCACCGAAGGCCCCAATGCTACCGCCCTCATGCGTCCCGTACGCCCAGGACAGCGTTTCGCGGCACGCCTTTCGTGGCCCCACAAGGAGCCCCACCGAAAGCGGCACCCACAAAGCGTTCTTCACAATTGCATATGGTTGGGTCCTTCGCCAGGATATTTTTTTTTGTCCACGCCGACGGCGCCGATGCACCGCCGACGTCGCCGATGCAGCGGCGATGCGGCGCGATCCTCCGACCCAATTTGTTCGGAACCCATCTGGGAGGTTTCTGCACCTGTGGATGCGCTGATGAGCGTCGGGCGCTGCTAAAAGTGGCCCCGACCCACGGTTACCCCCCAGCTTCACCCAGGGAGGCGCAGACGACCTCCAGGGCACCCCCCACGAGGCCCCGGAGGGCCCGCGGGGCTCCAACATGGAACGACAACCCGTGGACCCGGACATTTCTAAGCCGGCTGCGCCGGCGATCGCGGGCGCAGGTGTCGCTTTTGGCGGGGCGCGCTGGGCCCGAGGCGCGGGAGGAGGCGGACGAGAAGAGGGTGGCCGCGGAGGTGGAAAAAAAGGGCTTCGGTTTTCAGCTACCACCCATCCGTCACAGTACCACACACCGCCTCAGTTACCCCAGCGTTGAGCGCCTTCCTGTTCTTGGCCGGGCTGCGCTGGCCCAACAGACCAGACTTGGGGACGGGAGTGGGCGTTGGGGCTACCTACTGCTGTATTCCAGCAAGCGTTTCAACGTTGTGCGATTTCTCACGACTCTATTGCTATGTTTGGTTTGCTGCCATGCATTGTCGATTCACCCCAGTGCATTCAAGCCTTTCATAGATCGCGCGTTTCATGTTTCTTGTTATTCAGCCTTGCCTAAGCCCTGTATGCAGTTTCATGTTATTTACACTTGCCTCACACCGCCTTCGATCCGTTACATGTCCATGCTGACCCTCCTCTGCTTTTTTTCGGGGCCACCTGACCCCCAGGGCAGGGCGGGCCCCATAAGCGCGTCACAGGCCAGCCTTCTAGACCACCCGCAATCTCAATGTCTATTTCCATGCATCTTGCAGCTGCCATTCAGATATACAGGCCAGCCTACCTGGCTAGCCTGCCAAGACAGCCCCTTTTTCATGGCACTTTGAGCTCGTGCCTAACCCGAGACGAGGAGACAAAAAGCACGAGGGTCAGGGTCAGAGGAGGCTTGGGGTGAACTGGAAAACCTTGGGCTGCAACCCAAGAACCGCCACTGCTTGCATGGTCTTTACCACTCCAACGTTTCTGTACTAGCCGCGCAGGCCGAACAGGACAGACATGGGGACGAGGGCGATGGGTAGGAGGCTTATTTTGGGGGGATGGGCGACAGGGTTATCTGCGGCCATTGCAGCCAGCACTTTACAGTCTGTTGTTCAGTACCACGTGTGTCTCCTCACTACGCCATTGGCTCGGCGTTGTCCGTTCTGCTCATACTGTCCACACACCGCTTTGCATTTAGGCTTTACTTACTCGCGCGCTCTCTCGCCCAGGCCTTAGTGGCATCGCTCGCTTCCTTTAACCTCCTTCTCACGTGTCGCGAGCATCCAGCTGTTCCATTTCAATCCCGCTTGCGGGAGGTTGCAGTGGCGAGACCTCCTGCATTGTTCCACCCCCTGGCCATAGTTATTCCTCCGATCATGTGTTCAGTTGTCTTTGTTTGTATTGGTATCCCCCCTTGAGTTATCCTTGCGTCGCCCGATTCATTTTGATGCACGTCTATCTGCACACGATCTGTCTGACCAGATTAATGCGGAGGGGGTGACTATTATGGGGGGAGGTTGATATACTGAGGGTTTCAGGCTGGCCGTATTTGCCACCTGGCAGGCGCATTATCCTATTTGTTCCTCTTCGCCTAACGTTTGAACCGTTCTTTTCCGTTGCGCCCGACAGGTTGATTCGCTCCTTGCCGCATCGTCAAGTCGGTTTCTTGGTTCATACTTGAACGCTTCATGTTGGCACACCAAGTCCGAGCAACGTAAAGAGGAGAGGAGGAGGGGGAGGGGGAGGGGGAGGAGGAGGAGGAGGAGGAGGAGGAGGAGGAGGAGGATGAGGCGGAGGAGGAGGACGAGGAGGAGGAGGAGGAGGAGGAGGAGGGAGGAGGGGGAGGAGGGGGAGGGAGGAGGAGGAGGAGCAGGAGGAGGAGGACGAGGGGGAGGGGAGGAGGAGGAGAGGAGGAGGAGGAGGAGGAGGAGGAGGAGGAGGAGGAGGAGGAGGAGGAGGAGGAGGGAGGGGAGGGGGAGGGGAGGAGAGGAGCAGGAGGAGGAGGAGGAGGACGACGAGGGAGGAGGAGGAGAGGAGGAGGAGGAGGAGGAGGAGGAGGAGGAGGAGGAGGAGGAGGAGGAGAGGAGGGGAGGGGGAGGAGGAGGAGGGGGAGGAGGAGGGAGGAGGGAGGAGGAGGAGGAGGAGGAGGAGGAGGAGGAGGAGGAGGAGGAGGAGGGGGACGAGGAGGAGTAAGAGTGAGGAGGAGGAGGAGGAGGAGGAGGAGGAGGAGGAGGAGGAGGTAGTGGTGGATGCCTCCAGAGCCCCTGGTGCTGGCGCCGCTCTACCCTGGGCGCCACGGCGCCCGCCCGGATTGTCGTCGGAGCCTCCTAGGCGGCTCTGGTGGTGCCTGGGGAGTCGGCTCAAAGGCTGGGAAAGGCCTGGACAGTTCAAGGAGTCCTGTTTGCTCTTCTCTCGCGCCGCCTGAGGCCGAGGGGTTGAGACCAACACCAAGATCGTGCCTCCACCGAGGGAAGGTGCTCCCGATCTCGGCGACGGTGGCAAGACTCGGGCTTCCAGGGTGGCCGGAGTACTGCCACCAACTTTTTGATCCGCGGGTCGAGAGCGAGCCTCTTCCGGTCGAAGCTAAGCGGGCCGCGCACAGTTTTAATCAACAGAGGAAGGGAAGAAGAAGGCGGGGCCTCAAGTCAAGGCCAAGAGAGGGCAAAGTACTGCCACCGACACCCCAATCCAGGATCAGCTGACCCCTGGTGAAGGCAGCCCCTCGTGTTGGTGTTGGTGCCCAGTTCCAGGCCTCCAATATTTCGGTCTTGTTCTTCTCTCGCATCGTCTGGCGAGCCGTCCGCCCATCTGCCGGGGGGGGGGGGGGGGGGGCGAGGGCTCAGCCGCCAGTGCGCAGCCGTTCTGGCTCAAGACTCCGCGACGGGTTCGGGAAGCCCTGGCCACCGCGCGCCACCCCGTGCGCCACTCTTGGCACGATGGAGGAGGGCCTCGCCGAGCCGCTGCCGATAGTTCCACCGGAGGAGGCTCAAATCGCAGCCGCCTTCTTCGGGCCCCGCTGGCACGCGCGGGTGCCGACGCCAGAAGCACCTGCATGCTCCGAGACGGATGGGCGTGGCGGCCCAAGCCTCGCGGCTGGCAAGAGTTGCAAGGTCAACGCAGCTGGTCTTGGCGTGAATGTGTGCGATGCGCTGTCAGCTCCCTCCCACGAGGACGAGGACCAGCTTCAGACTGCGCGCGACGATGGCGCGAGCGAGAAGTTCTACTGCCAGTTCGCCCCGGAAGAGTCGACTCGTCCACGGGCATGCACCGTCAACCTGGGCATCGCGCCGCCTTGGGGAACGCAGGCGCAGCGCGCGCCAGCCAACGACTTCGCATGCTTCTACGGCCCGCCCCAAAGAGCTAGCATGGCCGACTGCCCGAAGGATTTCCGCAGGGAGCTGAAAAACTGCGCCACCGGGGGTCAGGTAAGCGACGCAGAAAAACGGGGTCGCTTTCACCGACACTGGCGCGCAAGCGCCCTACGTAAGGTCGCGCGCAACTGAGTGCCCTCTTCTCCGCTGTGGCGTGCCGCGCTGGCGGCCCGCACAAGCCACCGCGTAAGTTGAAGTCGGGCCTGTCACTCTACAGGGGGAATCTTCAGAACTGGTTCTGACAAGAAACAGTCTGGGGACGATCTCTGGAGCCTCTTCTGCATGTGTCTGAGCATGTTTGGGGGGGCATCTTGCCTCTGTCGCCCAAGAGCCCCCCTGCAGGAGGGCACGCCCGACCGACTGGCAAGGACGCCTCCCCCTCTCGTCGCTCAGGTGGTGTCCGTGGGCTCCATCGGGCACCCGCACTCGTGCGGCGAGCCGTGCAGGCACCGCGCGCGCGAGGCGGGCTGCCCCCGGGGCGCGAGCTGCCCCATGTGCCACCTGTGCCGCGGGCGCTCGGAGCGCGCCGGGGCCGCGCGGGCGCTGCGGCCGGCCGCGGCGGGCGGCGCCGCCGCGGCCATCCCCGCGGCGCCGGGGGGGGGGCAAGTCGGGCCTGCCCCTTCTACAGTCGGGGCGCTGCAGAAGGAACCCGTTTCGTTGGGGAGGGGCTCGGTGTTCCTGGACGGTTTCAGAGTTTGCCTCGGGTTTTCCTGGGGTTTTCCATGGGAAATCGAGGTTGAACTTACGGGAAAAAGGGGCCTCGTGCCTTATTTAGGGTTCCTTAGGTCAACGCCTCGACTATATGGGGGGGAGAGAATGCAAAAACGGTCGAAGAGTAGTCCTGGGGCGACGTCTGGAGCACTTGTGTTGCTCATGTTCGGGTATGGTTGGAGCATGTTTCGTTTTTCGTCCAAGGTCCGCCCGTGGGGGGGCATGCCCGACTGAAGGCGAGGGCCCCGCCGCCGCAGCCCCACGAGGTGTGCCGGCCCGGGGGCCCTGGGAGAGAGCGGCACTCCTACAGTGGAGACCCATGCCAAGGAGCACCCTGCTGGCCTCTCCAGGGTGCCCTGGGTTTCGCGGGTCTCGATGGTTTTGCGATGGAAGGCGCGACGTTCCCACACCAGAGATCGGTGGACGTCCTGGGGCCTCAGGGTTGGGTTTCTTGTGGAAGGTGTCTTGTGGACTGGGCTCCACTGTGCAGGGGAACAAACAATGACATCAACACAAAAATTCGGAGGTCCTCGCGGGTTCCTCGGATAGGCACTGAGGGCCCCCTGGCGGCGCCTCTGGCGCCGCCCCTGGCGCGCTCCGCGCGCCTGGGAGGGGAGTCCAGCGCCCGTCCGAGAGATCCGTGCGAGTTCTTATATTTATGTCAGTGATTGTTCCCCTACTCTAGGCCTCCCAGATGGGGTCCGAGTAGACGGGGTTGGAGGTTTGCGCCGCATCTCCGATGCATCGGCGATGCGGCTCGATGTAGAGCCCGATGTCATCCTCGCCGACGGCACCGACGCATCGCCCGACACCCCCGACGTCATGTTTTTTGATGGCGTCGACCCCAGAGGTCGGGCAAGGGCCCCCAGAGACCGAGCATAGCAAAAAGCCCATCGCCCTGATGTTTTTGTGACTCGAGGGGGCTTGGGACCTTAGTGGGCCATGTAGACGACAGGGCCGATTTTTCACCTGCTCCTTTTTGCCATTTTGATTGCCGGTTCCGACGCCGTTGTTTTACCGGTCCCGTCGCCGTTTTTCACCGGCTCCAGCTCTGGTTCCAATCCCAGAGCCGCTTCTGTTGCCGTCTCCGGTCGCCGTTCTTGTTGCCGCTCCCTTCCTCAAGAGACAGTTCTTTGTTCGGGAAACGGTGGAAAAAAAGGCCCTGCCGCTTCCGGGGCCCACTAAGCCTGGGACGCGGTATCGTTTGTCCGATCCCCATCCCCATCCCCACCCACATCACGAGCCCCACCGCCTCGCCACCCCGGCTGGGGACGTGCCCCCTCGGCACCCGAAGAGAGCAGCATAGTTATACAGATCCCCCTCCAGGGGACCAAGTCGGCCCGCGGGGCCCAGCCCACGCCAGTGGGGAGGGGGATCGGCGCAGCGATGCTCCGCTGGGACCCCCTCTGCGCGGCCCCCATCTGTGAAGGGGCCCCAGGACACAAATAAATACACACAGATAAAAAGATTCCCCATATTGTCCCACATCTTCTGGGTTCTTGTCTTCCCCCCCACTTCCCACAGTTTCCCAGACTTTCCTGGGAATCGACGATTACTTGTGTTTGTGTGTTTTCTCCCCTCCTGAATCTGGCGAGCCTGCAGGCGCCGTGGGCACAGGCCCCGCGCCGGGCGGGGCCGGCGCGCCGGGAGCAGCCAGCCTACGTGGCCCTGCGCGCCCCCGCCGGCGAGGGGGGCCTGCTGGCGCCCGAGGCGGCGGCTCGGGGGCTCCCAAACGGGGTGGTGACCACACCGTGCAGTGAGTCGGTGGGGATTCGGGGTCACCGCACGGTTTTGGGACTCGGGTCGTTCTCCGAGGATGTCTCGGGCGACTGAAGCCTCCAGGGTCCCAAAACCGTGTGGTGACGGACCGTGCGGTGAGGTCTTTGCGGATTTCGAGGTCACCGCCGGGTCTGTCACCACACGGTCTTTGGACACCCAAGGCGGCGGCCGCGGGCGGCGACGGGCTGGACGCGTTCCGCGGCTCCGCGGAGTGCCCCACGCAGGGATCCGTCGGCCATCCGCTCTCTCGGGGGTTGCCACAGGTGCCCCCCCTTGGCCTCGGAGGAGGAGGACCCAGGCAGGATCGCGCCGTGAAGAATTCGGGACGGAGGTTTTTCGCCACTCTCGGCCCCCAGGGGCCCTCGCCGGGCCCCGGGGCCGTCAAAAAACGAGTGAGGATGAAAAACCAGTCCCAGGGAAAGGGTCTGGGCGTCGCATGTCTGGGGAGGTTCCAGTACCTGTACCCTGGCCCTCGGTTTCGCCCCCTCGGGCTACCTCTGGAAGGCCCCCGTCGCCACCGCTGGATTCGCCTCGAGATTCTGGTCGGAAGGCACCCAAGGAAAGGTCAGCGGAGTAGCAGTATGGATACCTTTGGGTTTTCCCATGGCCAACGGCGCCCACAGGTTTTCATTCCATTTTGGAGCCCCTGTGGCCCTCCGGGCCTCGTGAGGGGTGCTATGGAGGCCGTGGGGGCCTCGCTGGGAACCCTGGGGGCACCGTGGGCCAGGGGCACTTCTAGCAACACCCGACTCTCGTGCCAATGGCCGTGCAAGTACGCCCGAAAACCACGGGGGTGCAAGCAGGGGCCCACATGTGACCGTTGCCACCTGTGCTACTGGACGCGCGCGAAGGAGCACAAGAAGCAGGTCCTCAATGCGTCGGGGCGTCCGCAGCACGGGTAGCCGCTGCCTGTGCACACAGAGCAGATCCTTGGTCTGAGATGCTGGGGCCTCGAACAGCAAACGCGGCATGTTCGTATGCGAGCTCCGCACGGTGGTCGTTTACAGTTATGTAATTATGTTATCTTTCCAGAGATGGTGAAGTCATCGCTGGCACACTTAGCGACTGTTCCAAGCGGCATTTGCCAACGGCAGTGGGGTTTCAAGTGGCACACGTCAGACGTGCACGACTGCAACATGTCATCTTGTCTTGAAATGCCATGCACATTGCCTTGATGCATGCCGGCTGGCAATTAAGATCACAGAAGATCCGTGGTCGCAGACAAGGAGTAGTGTCGCAATTGTTCGCGCTGTGTGGTTGCCCATTCCATTTCGTAGCACACAGGGGCGCAATCCCAGTGTGGAAATGTTTCCATGTGTTAGCCAGCGTGGACCCCAAACAACGTTTCTATCGGTGTCACCTAGCTGGAACAATTCGCGTGGTGATATATGAGTAGTGTAATCTTTTTTGTGTGCAGAATATGATGCGCAATATATGTGGTGCGATCTATGTGGTGCGATGAAGTTGGAGCAACGTATGTTGTGCAATCTATACATGTATATATGCACATATATATACATACCTATATACATATATATAGATGTATGTGCAAACTAAGAGGTGCAACAGATGTGGTGCAATCTGTGCGGTCCCATTGGTTTTTACAAATGATCCTATGCCCGTGCAAACACCCCACCCACCCACCCGCAACGTGGTTTGCCAAACCCATGCGGCGGCGATTGCGATGAGTGCTTGGCGTTGGCTGGTGCATTTTTGCGGCCGCGCTAGCCCGCGCATGCTCACGCGCACAGCGGCCAACTGGTTTGGCGCGACCGACGCGGCCACGTTGGCGCTGACCGTTGGGCAGTTCCCAGCGGGCACTTCAGTGCGAGTCGGTGAATTGGGTGGCTGCGGTATCATAGTGACGCCGACAACGGTAGACACGATTATGAGAGTAGCGACGACGGTAACGATGGTGGCGATGGCGACGGCAAGGCCAATGACGGCGCCGATGTTGATCACGTCCGCCGATAACGATGACGATCCCTTCGCGTCGGCGATGAAGGTGTTTTGAAGGAGTTCGACATGCGCACGCAGCCGACACGCGCGAGTGACCCGCGTGGTATTATTTGACACGGATCGTGCCCCCCCTTTCACCCACCCACCCACCCACCCCACCCCACCTCCACCCCAGCACGCGCATGGGGGCGTTCAAGGGAGTTCGACATACGGCGCGAGAGACCCGCTTGGCAGAAGTTGATGACAATGTTGGAAAGCCGATGTTTCCCTTATGAATTCGCAAGGCGCGAACGCAGGATCATTTTGAAAACGCACGTTGCAAAACTATGTTTTTGAAAAAATGTTCGGGACACCCGTTTCTGAAATCTATGCGAAACTCCAGGTGTTCCGAAGGATGTCCGCATGCGCGCGCGACGACGCGCAAGTATGCTGTTCGCTTCGTTTTTTTGCAACAGGCTCTTGCGACAGCACACGCGCGCAGGGGCGTTCGAACGATTTCGACGCGCGCGCGCGAGAGGCCAATTTAGAAGCACTGAACGAAAAAATGCTGGAAACCTGGGTAGTTGCCTTAAGACTTCGCTAGAGCGCGAGCGCAAACTGTTTGTGAATTTCCCCGTTGCGAAATAATGTTTTTAATGTTTTCGTGACATCGATGGCGAATCTCTGCGAAAGCTGAGGTTGTGCAAGGGTTTTGGCATGCGCGCGCGACGACGCGCGCGTGCGCATTTCGCTCCAGTTTTTATATAAAAAAAAATGAAAACTGCTGATTTGTGATAAACG